TTTAATTTGAATTTAGAATTTTAATCACATCATGTTATATTAACTTGTTTTTAATTCCAATGTGGCACTTAGCTCATATCATTCATTACATTGAAGGGGTCACAAAATCGAGAAGATTGATTTTTTCTTTAAAAAAAAGGTTAATACAAATTTTGGTGCCTTAAGTTTATCCTCATTTTAGTTTTGGTCTCTCAAATTTTAAACCATAGATTTTGCTCCCTCAGATTTTTTTTAATTTAAAACATTAGTTCTTATAATCCAATAAAAATATGAATCATTTTGCTCTTTGAAGGACAAAACCTATAGTTTGAAACTTGAGGGACCAAAACCAAAATGAGGACAAATTTAAAGAACCAAAATTATATTAATCCAAAAAAAACTAAGATTAGAGGTATAAACTAATCATTCCTTAAGAAGCAGAACTTATTAAATTTTGCCTTGCATTTAAGATAGGAGAAGTACTTGTGGATTTGTGTAGTCTAATTCCAATTAGAGAGACAAACACTAACGGCTTAATTTGAAATTGAACGAGACCGAACTTATAACCTTTCGTTTATAAGTGAGCTTATACGCTACATGGGCCGTTGACATTTGAGTTTTAGTTGATGGACTCCCTTGGCATGTGATTATGAGGGTAAAAAACTGAGGATCTTTTCTTACCCTAAAGTCCTAAACTTTGGTTCTTGTAGAGAGAGAGAGAAGGGGGGGGGGAGAAGAAAGGAGAAAAAGAGAGAGAGGGAAGCTGTTTTCTAGGGGCACTTTCTCGGTCGCACGCATGTCTGCTTTTGTCCCCATTCTTTGTAAATGAGCTTTTCAACTTCATCTTTCTTTTGTGATATATATATATATATATATATATATATATTCTTTTTTTCTGTGCGTTTCTGTTTGAAAGTTGCCATTTTGTTTTGTTTGTTTGAAAAGAAGGAAACCCTATTCAAACCATTGATGATAGCTGCAGAAGCACCACTAAGAAGAGAAATGCGGGTTGCTGTGAGTGGAGATTATTATGATGACATCAGTCCCACCCTGTCATGACGTACAGTGCTCTCTCTCTCTCTCTAGATTTCTCTCTCCAAACATTATTCTTTAGTGCTTAATGTCTAATGAATGAATGAAATGGAGTTATGGCTTCTGCACTTATTTTGCTCTTTACACTTACAGCACAACCAACTCATGCACAATTACTTTGCCTTCACATCTCATGAGTGCTCCCTTTGAATAATTCATTTCATCAATCTTTAATTACCAATTCTAAACCAGACATACTCCTACATTGTTCTAATTCTACATTTGTAATGTATGTGTCTGTGTTATAACTACTCCTTCTAGTTTCTGTACATAATAATCTATATACTGATCATACATACATATGTAATGTTATATTTATATGATCATAGTATCTAACATAATGATTTCTTGTAAATAATTTTCCATTCTCCCTCCCTCCCTCTCCCTCTGTGTCATGCATAATTAACTAATGTGGGTTCATTTTTATAATTTCATCTAATATTCAAATATGTGTATACAGCTATAGCCTTCTACATATTATAGCCATATTATGACAAGTTTAATTTGGTATTGTCACTTTTAGATGTTTATAAACATTTCAAATATCTTGTGCTATTCCTGTGTTACATGAGAAACTTCTATTATGAATTGGGGGAAAATAACGTTAATACTCATTTGATCCCTGATATGTCACGTTTTAGTTATTTTATCTTTTATATTTATCATTTTTTTTCAAATTGATTTATGTAATTTATCAACTGATATATATTGTATTATACATTATGATATAAGTACTTTTAGAAGATCATGTCACATTTATTATAATTAACTAATTTATATTTTTCTTCTTTTAATTTATTCCAATTAATTAAATAGCTATTATATTAAGAATTATGGTACCAAATAAATTTTACAAGAAAATCCATGAATTTCAAGTAGTATATCAGATTTAAAAATTAAAAAGAAGATATCCACCCTTTGAAATTTTTTTGACTCAATGTAACTGATGGTCAAAAAAATGTAACTACTGGCGATAAAATCTAAAAAGGTTTTTCCTTTATAAAGGTTAAAGAGAGCGGCGATAGACAATTTTTAGATATGGAGGTATGATGATGGCTTGACACCATGTATGTATTTTTATTTATTTATTATTTCTGTTTTTTAATTTTTTATTATTTCGTCCCCACCAAATGATTAGGGGTGATTGTTTGGAACTAATAAAAGCTATTAAAAAAATTAAAATAAGGGTGTAAATAATCACAGATTTAAGACATGCATGTATATTTATGATTATGTCTTGCTACATGTGATTCTATCAATTATTTCTTTTGATTTCAATTGGAAAGTACATTCTATGGCTCACTTCCACATTAATTTAGACACTAAGTGCAAGACAAGTAATGATGAGCTTTACTATTATTTTAATTTTTTTTATTTCCTAAAAACACAGTGCCATTCATCAGGGGGGAAAAGTTTAAGTGATAATAATTATACTCAAATATATCTATATTAATTATAATAGGCTATGAACTTGTGTGGTGTTAAAAAACAGTTGTCCCCCGAATTTTATAATAGTAATTATTGTGAATCTTGTATATGACTCTATAAATATATATATCTATATATATATTTTATGGGGTTTGAGAAATTAGTTTCACTATTCAAAACTCATAAATAATATAGCTTATTGGATTTTTTATGTTATATAAAAATATATAGATTTAGAAGATACTTGCAATAAGGTGATGATACTACTCTCTTCAGAACAATGCTTAGTTTGATACATTTGGGTTCATTATTGGCTTATGGTGCCTTTTTGAGCATGACAGAAAAATGGTTGATATTACAACATGCCTTAATTTATATAAAGTTTAATTTATCTAATTTTAAAGTTTCATCAATTTATGCATGTAAAATTGACATTTTGTTAAGGCGGCGTACAAATTAAGAAAAAAAAGGTAAAATCATAAATTAAATTCTCAAAAAAAATGAGAAGTTAATTGGAATTTTTCATATACCTTATATAAATATAATATTTCAAATTTCGATATGTAATCATCATTTTATCATCCAAAAAAGACATACTTATTATATTTTATTATCAAAATTTCTTAAATAAACAGTATAATATAGTGACAAACACAATGCTTCCCAACAACTTCAAATTACTAAAGCAGGTCATCGATTGCAATTAAAAACGTGCAAGGTGGCTCTTGGGTGTGAAACAGTTGGACTATCCATCTATCTCTATCCAGAGAAGAGATAGAAATAAATCCATTGATAATTAACATTATAATTAGACTAGTTAATTTACATTAAGGCACACATAATAATATGTCACGCTGACACCAAAAGGCACCTTCTCATTCCAAGGTGGAAGCTGGTGAGAATAAACAAAGACCCAAGTGTTTTTATATATATATATCTGGTTCTTCGTCTTCTTTTGTGTTTGGCAATACAGACGACAGAGCAGATATGAGAGCATCAGGGATAGATATGTAGCCCTATAAGCCAAATATATATTTTTATATGTAATCAACAGAGCTGGTAACGCGAGGGATAAAAGAGAAAGATCCAAAATATAATGATATAAATATGTTTGTGCGTGCATATATATAACAAGCTGTGAATTAAACAAAAATATATATGCCACTTTGTCTTAAACAAATACTAGACTTCAACTTAGTGCACAAGGGTTGGTGTGTGTGAGAGTATGTAGTAAACATGCATTCTGTTGTATTTGAAAACATCATATTCTCTTACTGATAAGAAAGATTCCTAACAACGTGCACGCAAATGGGTTAACTATTCTTGATTGACATTGGTCAAAAAAGAAACTATTCTTCTGGACTGATGAATTGTGAAGCATTAATATATCTGATTTATGTTTAGTATTATTTGTACTAGATTAAGGCCTCTTACTTGAGGTCAACAGTGATAAAAGTTTTCCAATTACAAAAGCTAATCCTATTTGAACTCAACAGTACTTGAATCTGGTTTAGTTAGTTGTTTTAGATAGCAAATAGTTTAAGAAACAAAGGGTTGTCCAATCATTGACTTGTGTGTTTGATTAATATATAAGCCATAATGGATTTTTCACTGAAGTGAATAGCAGAAGTGGTCCCTTCAATGGATGGATGTGGCAGCCAACACAATGTTACGAAGATCCAACAATTACGTATGAAATGCCAAAAACTGGTATTTTATATAATACACATTTTTCACAAGTGCTAGCTTTATTAGTTTCTATTTTCTGCACATATGGATGTGAATTTGCAGGCTTCAGCCTTTTATTTATGCACATTTTTGCCCTGTAAAAAAGCTGATCTAATGAATAAAAGAATCCCCAGATGTCGTTTTCAGTCTTTCTCCTTTAAATTTCAGACCAATGAGTCTGACCAAATGTGATGAGTCTCTCAATAAATTTTGTCAAATTGTTCATATTGGCTCACTTAAAAACTGCACTAGTTTATTAGGAGGATAGTGTTTTAGAGCACAGGTTATCCCACTAAGTTTAAATATTGGTTGCTTCCAAGGGATATTACACTTTATAAATGAACAAGGTTCATTGAATCATTTTAACCTCTGGCAAATTGATTAAACTAGCTCATCTTTCTTCACTCACAGCTAATTATAATTAACCATGTTCACTGCACTGGAGAACTGAATTTAATATTAATCTCCAGGATGGTGCTCTAGCATCTAGTAATAGCATATGCATTCATAGCTTTTACAGTTTTGCTCCACTAGCCGTCCTGATGCAGAAGAATCAAGTGGCATCAATCATCATATCTAGAAAGTAGTAGATGATATATGATCCATTACTATAATCATCTCATTGGGATGTTCTTGTCTGGATAATTTAAAATGTACCTCAAGTTCTCTCCTCCTATCAGTTGGGCAACATGCCCATACTGAGTGAGCAAGTGAAGAAACTGGGTACCATGTAGTATGCTGCCCTCAAAGTTGTTCACAGCATAAAAACGAGATGCCACTAAATAAATTAGCATGGCTGGAATTCATTTCTCAATAGAATTTTGTGCCAGAAGAGGCAATTGGTACAATTAAATTATACAGTATAACTGTCCAACAATTGCAGGCGGCCGAACTCTACAACCGTGTTATCTCTGTTATTTGACAGAAACAGGACCTCCTCAAGCCAATAACCAATGATCAACACAAAAATAATGCCTCGGATATACTAAAGCTCATTTGTTTGAACGGCAAGATGCCACAGAAACTGTTATGTGGTTTTACAAGCACCCAAAAATTTTGCGAACAAGTATGATCACTAAACTCTAGTGTGGTTGTCGGCTTAAAAATCTTAATGTGGTTTTGGCACATAGCCATCAACAGCGAAGTTCCGCGTGGCCGCAGGAATAGCTAACCGAATCCCGTCAAGTTCTGGTTTAGCAATCACTTGGCAACCCAGACGTGATCTGCGAGGTAACTTAGAAAATTAGACTTGGTAGAATTTGAAGCATTATAGTCCCTAATTGGTGTAAAAAAAGAACCCACGTGTCGGTTAGTCCAAAAGCCAGATCCAACATGTCATTTTCTTCATCAGTTGGGTCTTCTAATTTATTATAGTACCCTACATCCTGCATAAAGTTAAAAAATTGGACTTGTAAATGAGAAGCAGAAACTCGGGACAACAGATAATTTATAATTAAAATCACTATCTAATATTTATCCTCCATGATGTACCATCACTATAACATGGCATGTTGAACAGGCAAGTGAACCCTCACAAGCTCCTGCAACAACATTGAGTAGTATATTAACAACATTGAGTAGGAACAAGAAGAAACGAATTTCATGATGGAAGCAAGACATTGATTCTAGGACTCTAGAAACCAAACTTTAGAAGAGAGCACTAGCAAGAAGATAAATTTTCAAAGTGGAAGAATGTCACAATGACAGTAGAATTATTGCCTTCAAGTTCAATGTCATTTTCGTGAGCAGCTTCTAGCATAGACATTCCAATAGGGACTTTAATTTGCTTCTCCTCACCATCCTTATCAACAAAAGTTACAGATATCCTGCAAAGAATTGCATCAGAGTAAGGAGCAGAATGAGAATTGTGCAACGGTGACATATGTTTCAATAGGATCAAATAAGGTAAAGCCATTTTATATTGGGCAAAATGCACTGTTATTCAGTGTCAATGGCCGAAGAGGAACACCAGGATTTTCAAAGAAATTGTTATGCACTGTTTTTCTCCATTCTCCATTTTTGTTTAATGATGGACAACTAATGACTGCTTTTAGGGGGTCCCTATTTGGTTGATGTCTTATCTTGCTACTCCAGCCTCAATTCCGCTGTTGTAGTCAAATATTTTTCTTCTTTTATCCCAACAGAACAACAGCGCAGTTTTCTTCTTGAGTATGAAGATATACACGGCCTTGATATGCTACATTGAGGACATTCTTTCCTTCATTTTAAACAATGGTTAAGTCAAATGGCGTCTTCTTATTCATCATCAAAATACATGTTCATTTGGGAAGTCACAGTACCGGAGTATCAGCCATCCCAAGGGCAGATACTAAGGAATAATAATAAAGAAGATTAAGCGTGATTGATGACCAGCTGGATTCTTGCCATCTGGAAAAGACATGAAAAGGAAGATATTTCAAGGAATCATGACCCACAGCAGCCACATCCCTGCTCAAGGATTGCTATTACTGTTTGCTATGGATTAAATGATCAAAATCTTATTAAACCAAAATCCTATTCAGATATCGGCCATTGCCAACAAGAAGAAATCTAGACTCGTATGGGGGCATTGGAAGTTTCAGTATGTTAAGTTCACTGAACTGTTCAACATATAATCATTAGGAGAAAAAGTTAAAGTTCAAGCTCATTCTATTTTTGTCTTTCTCTAACCTTCCCACTCAATAATTGAATCAAAGCACTCGTTGCCATTTATCTCCAGTCACAGTGATTCCTCATGCCATAATAAAGCTAACATGCCACCCTCCGCCAGGCAACACAATTGCCAACAAATTTCAGAATGGCAACCATATGTATTGTTAATTCTGCTGAGGTATATTGAGAAGAAAGTAATTTATAAGTAAGTTCAAGATTCTATTCAGCTGGACCTTAACCAACTAACAAATTTTGGATCCATAAAGCCAGTCCTATACATATCTTCAAGAAAAATATTATACATGCTCTCTAAATAAACACTTCATGTAGCCGCTGATGTTACAGTTTTCTTTTGGAAAACCATGTCTAGATGATTACAGGAAATATTTAATATATCTAAGAACAGAACTGACAGAACAGGTTAGTGTTCATTCAGTGACAGCGTGACAGTTGAAATCTCCAGTGATGGCCTTAGCACGTTCAACTAATGTGTGCCGAATGTTTCACAGGAGTTTACTCTACACAGCAGCTTTTTCCAGAGGGGGGTACTAGTAAACCTCACATAAACAGCAAAGATAGCGTATCTAATGCATTCAATGCCGTAATACACCACTACTAAACTTCAGATTGAAGTTTAATAAAAAGAGAATATCATCTTCCTGTTCAATCCATCTCAAAATAAAACTTACGTTTTCTGCTCACCCCCTTCCTCAGAAGTATTGTTAGTGGGCATAGTTGAAAGGTACTGAGGCTTTTGAAACATGCCTCCCAGGCCCAATTTAGTAGATGACCACTGTTCACAGAAAAAGAAAAGTTAAGCATTTAAAAGTATAGCCATTGCTTTGACAATAAATAACCAAACGAAGCTATTTCTTCAATAATTACACATAAAGGCATATACGCACAAAACCAAGGCACCAATTTCATGAATAGTCACATGATTCTGTATGATTAAACTCAGTTTCACAATTATACTCTCCCAATAAAATTATAACTACATCAGTAGCAAAGTTTTAGCTGTCTGGGCTAATCCCTCCCTCTAAGTCTATTGTTTTTGTTATCAGGTGGAGGGTAAACCCAAAACGTGATGAAAAATATTAGGGTTAAGCACATCCCTTCCATTAGGACCCACATCTACATTATCAAACAAGATGCCAAAGCAACACAATGCTATGTTCATAGCATTTCCAATTCTATTATAACTGATAATAGCTTTCCCATCTCTCCTATCTTGGGTTTAACCAGAAACAAGATCAGCTTTTTGGCCATGATGGAGGGTTGGCCTCTTCCCATGTTCCCGCATTAAAGTTTCCGCCAACATTGGTGAAAGCAGGTGATCTCAATATTAAGTGGCTCAGTTCCACCAATTGATGACCTCAAAAGTTCCATTTGTTATCATTTGATATTTACGAAATGAATGCTTAAACATAGCTTCCAGAAGAGTGTATCGCCAAATTAATAATTCTAAGTTCCGAGTATCGCTGATCCGTTAAAAAACAACTAACCGGAGGATGCAAATACTGCCCATTAATCCTTCGAGTATATCCTGCTCTATTATTCGATATGCACTTTCCTGCCAAAGGAAATGAAACGAAGCTAAAATAACCAGTTGAACTATCGATTCAATGCAATTGTAGCTTCTCACCGTGCATCTCATGAATAGCAATAACGGAAGCAAACTAAAGGAGCTAACAAAAACAAGGAAAACAAAATAACCAAGACGATTTTCTTTGCCCATTCAAACAGAAAAGCACAGATACGTACCTCTGGATAACTCCTTGACCACCCAAGCTCCCACTCTGGCTAGCCTTGAGTTTAACATGGTAGGGATTAGGAAGCTTAATAGACCCTAATTTGTGTCAATTTATATGAAAATGATCTCCAGAAAAATCTGAAACAGAGGCGAAGCCGGACCTTAAACTGAGGCACGCCCCCGGCGAACGAAGATATAATAATAATAGAATTTGAGTGATAGCAGAAGGCTGAGAATGGCGGAGACCTTCGGGTATCGAGCGGCTTCTGTGATTCTTACCCGTCCTCGTCAGAGTTCTATTTTCGGCCTCAGGCATGGATCCGACTTGACCCGGGTCCTTTTTTTTTTTTAATGCTCAAAATACCGTACTTTTGAATTTTTTTAAATTTTTAAGAAAAACAAGGGTCGATTTCATTTTCTTAAAAACCCTACAAAAGGAAGGTGAAAATCAGTAATTCTTACACAAATACATTGTTATTTGTAAGTTAAATGTAATTAAAACTCATTAAAGTAAGTGAAGCAATCTTGAATCCGGATTTAAGAATTTTCATTTTTTTTTATTTTTTTCTCCTGGAAATTAGAAAATAGGGTTTACTTGAAGTTTATAACTTTTTCTTTTTTCCATTCGAAGCTTCGTGATTTTTTTTTATCAAGTCTCTATAATTTTGTCTAATTTTTAATTAGACCTCTGTAGTTTTCTACCTAATTTGTAGAGTAATGTGACGTTATTGTAAAACTTATATCAAATGCAATGTGTTAGGTTTTCAAATATTAATGTTACTTATCCTATCCTAAATCTAAGGGTTAAATAAATAATTTATATATATAAATAAAATTAGTTAAGTTTATTTTTTGACAAGCATTTGTTAAATTAATTATTTATAATAAATATATGTTGATTTTTCTAAATACTCTTTAATTATTTAAATTGGAAATCACCCCTTCCTGGACTCCTACATTTAGCTTGAATACATTCTTGGTTTTGTTGCTGGAAGGCATTTTATCACGAATTGAAATCATCCCCCATGAGATTTTCAGTGTCAATCATTGGTTGATATATTTTCTATTTTTGAGCAAAACACACATTGGTTGATACTCCTCCCTAATTGTTAAGATGATCTTGTTCTAAAATATAATACCTACTTTTTATATTTATCAATTTTTTTAAATTACTCATATTGATACTCCCTTAACTATAATTAAGTAAGAGATAGAGGAGGATATTAAAAAATAATAATAATGATATTTTAGAAAAAATATGTTAGTTAACTAACTTACCTAACTTTCTTAATCTAATTAAATTGGTTAAATATGTTTTATATTGAGAATCGGAAGAGGATTAACACAAGAATTCCTGTCCACGGGTTTCATCCCCTATGAGAAAAAAAACAATTAATAGTCTTGTCACCCCGTGTATAATATCAAAAATATGTAATTGGTTGTGAAAATGATCTAATATTAAACAATAGCTAGTAATTTATATTCAAACACTATTGAATTTAACTTAAAGTTTTATATAGTACGATCTGTGTTCGAATGTAAGATATCAGAAAATGCAGTTATATTAAATTCAATCAGGCCACCGACAATATCTTACCACATTCCTTAAATGATCCAACAGTAATATTTCTTCCATGAGGATCCCATACAATATTTGACCGCTGCTGTACACAGTTCTGCTTGGAATAATGGAAAAGAACCGCATAGAAGCAGCCATAATAGAGTCACAGAGAAAAACGACACAGAAGATGTCAATGTAGGAAAATTGTACGATGCTCACCTTAATTTTGTCTGCATCAACGAGACTGCATTTTAATCATGAATGCCACAGACAAAGTGACTGCCCAGCTACGTTGTTATAAGAATAATCAGCATAAATTTTTAGAACCAGAGACAAGTTTCTGCTATAAAAGGCATCCTCTGCAATGGTGTTAGGCAGAAGAGGAAGCCACACAAGACGCAATTTCGCTAGATATTGCTTATTACCTGGCAATGGAATCCAAAAAATTGTCAGTCTCAGTCTCAATCTTCTGCTTCATCTTGTTAGCACTAGCAAATAGCTCCAATGCAGGAAGCATAGCAATCTACTGGGGTCAGAATGGCAACGAGGGCACATTGGCTGAGGCTTGTGCCACTGGCAACTATGAGTATCTGATTTTGGCCTTCTTGCCAACTTTTGGGAATGGCCAAACCCCAGTTATAAACCTAGCTGGTCACTGTGATCCCTATAGTAATGGCTGCACTGGCTTGAGCTCTGACATTAAATCCTGTCAAGCCAAAGGCATCAAGGTGTTGCTGTCATTGGGAGGAGGTGCTGGTAGCTACTCACTTGCATCCCCTCAAGATGCAAAGCATGTAGCCACTTACCTTTGGAATAACTTCTTAGGAGGACAGTCTTCTGCTCGTCCACTGGGTCCAGCTGTTCTCGACGGCATTGACTTCGACATCGAAGGAGGATCAAACCAGTACTGGGGTGATCTTGCCAGGTACCTTAAAGGCTATGGAAATCAGGGGAGGAAAAAAGTTTACATAACTGCAGCACCTCAATGCCCATTTCCTGATGCTTGGATAGGAAATGCCCTCAAGACGGGTCTTTTTGATTATGTTTGGGTCCAGTTCTACAACAACCCTCCATGCCAGTACAGTTCAGGAATCACCAATCTTGATGATGCATGGAAGCAGTGGACATCAGATATCCCAGCCAACAAGATATTCCTGGGGCTACCAGCTTCTCCTCAGGCTGCAGGCAGCGGCTTCATTCCTGCATCTGATCTTACTTCCACTGTGCTGCCAAAGATTAAGACTTCAGCAAAATATGGAGGCGTTATGCTGTGGTCTAGGTATTATGATGCCCAAAGCGGATATAGTAACTCTATCAAAAGCCACGTCTAAAATCTGTACTCATCATTTATATATGTACTAGCCTACATGTTATGTACTGATGTATATTTAAATATAAGTATATAATATGCTACTGTTTCTGTCTTCAACTTTCTTGGAGTAAAAAGGGGAAGGGGGTTAAACTTTCATGGCATCATTGCAACATACATTAGAAGCTCTAGAGGATGGATAACATCATAAACATGATCTAAAAGAAAGCTCCCAAGATGGCTCCTGCAGTTGAAAACTTGCAACAAAAAAATCAACAAATTCTAGCATCATCCCGGGCCTAGATGTTAGCAATGCAGTATAGAGCGCCACTATTCCTCAGAATTAATTAAAGTAACATGCTTGCAGCATTCTTGCAGAAGTGATTTTCTAAAATTGGTTTTGATCTATATGATACAAGGGATAGTTCAAGGCAATATTTCTTCAAGTGTTCCTCATTTTCTAGTATTCCAAATGTAGCCCTGTAATATATAGATTATCCTTTTGTTATAATCATCGTTTTACTCCTGAGTATCTCTTATACTTACAGTTTTACACTTTAGGCAATAGAAGTTAAAGCAATACACAGATGAGTGGAAAGGTGAAACAAAAGAAATTACAGAAAAGTGGTGATAAAGCAACAGTTGAAAATATGACAATTATCTACCACACATACCTAGAGCAGCTTGAAATATTCTAGGAGCTGGTTCATATCCAAGTTCTGAGGATATAATTATGCCATCAAACCTAAGATGAAAACCAAAATTTTATACGGATAAACACCAAGAGAGATTCATGAAGCATACGAATTTCTGAAAACTTATAATACAGATAAAACTATGGAATAACATATTTAAGGAATTATTGATGCTCACAGATTTAATACATTAAGATCTTTCAATATATAGCTTCCTTAACCCGTGGCAAAATTGGAGACAACGCCCACCTGAACTGTGTCACTGCTAAACGCTGAACTTTAAAGAACTTAGATAAGTCAGGGCATATAATTTTAGCGGTCTAGGATAAAGAAATATGTACAATTCCTTTGACCTCCGGAACCCTTGAGAAGGGAAATTGTTTCATAAGCTCTATCCTGAACATGCCACGCATGACCATTTACGTAGTACTGACAAGAACATTACTTAGAAGTTCAGATATCATGGCCTGAGACAAATTAATTTCGTAAAAAATAATGTCAGCTACCCAAAGAACTGCCTCAAGTTGCAGTATAACACACCCAAGACAATTTATTTCCCTCTAGTAACCGAGCAATGATATCTGGAAATAACATGAATGAACATTCTGGACCATCTAGACAGCTCATCAGAAACTACCATAGGAAGGACAAATATCACACTACGGACATGGCTCAAAGAAGCTGACAAAAGAAAAGAATCTGTAACCCATTTACTGAATATCACCCTTTCTTCCAAACAAACAGGAACGTCTCGATAACGACCATTTCCACCCATCAAACTATTCGAAACAAAAAGAATGAGGCAAGTCCAATATCTGTATAACCTACAACAGAAATTCAAGATTTACAGAACAAGAATATGTAGAATTTAAAAGTTGTTTAGATGAAATCAAAACCATGAGTTTAAAAGTATTTTTACGGTATACAAAATAAATATATACAGAAATTTATCTCGATTTATTAAAAAATACTTTTAAAAAGCATTTTTCATAGAGCCCAAACATCCCTTAAAAGAAGCATGATTTAATCATCAGAATCAGATAATTCTGTACGATTTCTAGTTGTTATTTTTGTTCCAATTTGATGCTTTTTCGCCTAGGATCTCTGTTTCATAAATCAGACAATTCGATCTGAATTAAAACCCGGAAAAAAAAATCCGGCAGGAAACCCGGGAAAACAGACGAGGAAAGGGAAAAAAACCGAGCATTTGCCAACACTTTTCAGGTCAATACACCGATCTATGGGCTATGTCAGTTTCTGATGGCCCATAATGTGATCCAATCCACTAGGCTATAATTATCATTGGGCCCTATAAAAAACAATTAGGCAACTTTAAAAAAGAATCTCATGTTTTAATTTTAGGGAGAATCCCATTTAAATTCAATTGAAATTCTAAAATTCAAAATCAGGTTTTCAACTTGAATAAATTCCTAATTAGAATAAGAGGTCTAAGTGGAGATTTATGATACTCCTCTGCTCTTAATTATTAGTCAATTCCAATATGTTTTCTGTAGACCGAGAAAAACTTCAAATTTCATTAATTCTCATTTAAAATTTAACAACTTTTCAATTTTATCCCTATTTAATATATATTAACTCATACAAACAAAGTCAATACAATAATAAATGAAAGATAAATTTGTACATCTATATAAAGAAATTTCTCTCAATGTCCTATAAATATGACAAAAAATGTTTTCTCTCTCTGTCCTATAAATAGGACTAAAAGAGTATTATTAAAAGACCAAAATACCCCTCTATAATTAAAATATGTGATAAATCACATTTTTTACATACTTTTTATCCTCTCCATTTGGTCTTTTTAGTGAGAAATTGTGCCTAATTGAGTTTAATTAGATCATATTTTATTTTATAGACATTTTACACTTAATGGAAATTAATTGATTAAATCTTAGAAATTTATGGTTAAATCTTCATTTAATATTTTTGCATATGTGGCTATTGATTATTATCTTATCTTGTGCAGATTTTGGGAGATAAATTGAAGATTGATGATGGAGATTATTTGGGCTGAAGTTGATTAAAATTACTATCTTAATTTTAATTTTTCTCTTGGGTGAAATTGTGTAAATAGTTTTAGGGTAGTTTAATTATTTTATTTTATTTCATATTACTTTAGTTTTTTAGTTTGAAAGAGGGGGAGTGGCGGAAGTTTTAAAAAGAAAAAAAAAGATTAAAGGGAGAGGAGGCGGTTAGAATTAGAGGAAAAAAGTGGGGAGGAGATCAAAGGAGACGCAGACGGAGCAAAGGACGAGAGTAGCGATCTTCACTTTTATTCTTCTCCAAACTTCTGCGACGCCTTCTTTTCTCCATGATCAGTAACGTTGTGCTCTTATTTTCTGCCATGAACTTCTAATTTCATTTGTAATTAACTATAAGTTTGAACCTTGGGTTTGTAATAAGAGTCCAAGACTTGTAATGGGAACTCTTCTGGTTGAGATTCTTATTTAATTTTCCTTTCTTTTGACTCTCTTTTATACGTAATTTTTCTGTGCTCAATGTGTGTTCAGATTTGAATATAATATGTGGTGTATCCGGTGAGGATTTGTGCTGAAAATTCCTGATTATAGATTTATAACTTGAACTAGTAGGCTTTTGAAATTTCAGATTTGATAGTTTCTACAATTCCTCACTGTTAGGATTTAATTTGTGCAAGTTTATATTTTCCAGATTTGAAATATGTTTACTTTGCTATTTTTCTTGAATTATTGAGAGGTCATAAGCCCTTAATCGATTGATTGGAAGTTTGAGAGGGAAATTAAAGGAGGAAATTGATTGATTTTCTCTGTTTGTTAAAATTTCAGGATTAATTGTTGCTTAAGTTTAATTTGGAGTTTAAGTGAGATGTCATTGAACTTTGATTTAAACAAGAGCATAAAACTTGAATGATAATTCAAGGATTTTAGTTGGGAAATTTTCTTAAGGAATCTCAATCAAAGGAATTGAATCTTTTATCTGGACAAGGACCATTACATCCCAAGGGAAGAACTTGTAGTTAATTGCATCGCCATTATAAATTCTTGTTAGTTGCAATTTGCTCTGTTGTCATTTTCTTTTACTAGTTAATTAGACTTTTAATCTTCAGTTTACAAAACCCCCCCTTTTTTTTAAAAGCATTTTCGAGTGATCTTTTTCTTATCGAAATTCTTAATTTAAGTGATTAACTCATTGGCTCATCGGGAGACGACCTAGGTTGCGCTTTACTGCAAAATCTAGTTTTATATTATTTTGATGCTATTCGATAGTGGTGTCAATATGAGCTGATACTTTTATATTTTTCTTCCTTATAAATTTTTTCCTAAAATATGAAAATAATAAATTATAACAATGTCTTCAATCCAAAATTTGTAAAAATTTTGTTGTCTAAATAAGTTTACTCTTAAAATATACATGTGTTATATTAAAAAAATGTGCATGTTTAATAAAAAAATTGTATGTGTGTATATATTATTAAGTATATGGAGAATGGATCCATATTAAAACTTAGCAGAAATTAAACACATCCAAAATTAAAATCTATCAGTGATCTATACTGTTACATTGATGGTAGTGCTGGAGTAATTAGTAGTGTGAATCAAGGACTATGTTGTAACTTCCTGTCATTTAGTAAAGATTTATTATTTTCAAATTTTAGGAAAATCTGGCAAAAAAATTTAGGAAAAGAATTTGTGAGAAAGAAAAATATAAAGGCAAATCATATAGGGGTATTCTAGATTTTTATCAGCCTTTATAAATCTCTAATTAGGCCTGTTGGCCTAATTAGAGATTTGTTCAAAGTGTAGGCTTGATTTTGGATTTTACTATTTTACTTGAATTTAAATGGGATTCTCTTTTAATTTTACGTTTGGAAAACCCTCTAAAAATCACTTTTACATTTTACAAAATAAAAATTATTTTGCATATTTACCTCACATAGTACAAAATTACTCAAAAAATAAACTAAATCAAACACACCGACTAACTAATAGTAGAAACATGAATTATTGTCACTAATAATATCTCATTTCATTCTTATCATCTAATTCAATCTCAAGGGACTTTACCAATTTAGTTTTATTATTGTCAAAAAACGATATCTTTTTATTTAAATGTAGTTAATTAATTATCGAACAAAAATAAAAAATAATATTATTTTACCCACAAAATCATTTTTTTCGCGAAAAAAAAAAATTGCTATGTTGCTTACCTTTGTCAAATAATTCATATTGCTTTGCCCATAAAAAATATAGATTGCATATTCCCCACGCCCATTTCATTTATTTGCAATTCACCCAAAACCAGCCTGGTTCTTTCCTTGCACCCAATCATCTCCTTCCTTTTTACTTTATTTGTACTTTTTTCTAGAAAGGACTGAGGAAAGAAAGAAGTGGCCATTTAGGGTATATTCAAGAGATTAATAATAAACATAATCATACTTAATATTCCCCCAAGTTTGAAAACTGACATCATGATCCTAAATTCTTTTTCTTTAGTTCTAAGAAACTTTCATTGGGAAACATGCCCTGCCCTGCCTCCTCTCTCTCTCCCCCCCCCCCCCTTCACTCTCTTCATTACAAAAACGTACCATAAAAAGGTGCCTTAAAGCTCTGGGGTTTCACATGAAAAGGGCAATCACGGTTTCACTTTCACCCAAAAACACCACATTAATTGAACTCGATCGAATCCATCCCCTCCCTTTTTAGACAGTCCATATCGATCAAATCCTCCCAACTTGCAAGAGCTCGATCCATATATCTCCTCAGGTTCAACTATCCTATCAATCTTATTAATTAGGGTTTCTTTCCCATGCTTCCTGCTTCTGCATCTTCTTCTTTATCTTCATTTTTGCTTTCTCCTTCTTCTTCTCCACCATGGCCTTCAAACTCTCTCACGTACTTCTTTTCCTTCTTCTGTGGTTATCCATAATACTGCTGTTTCTTTTTCATGAGTATCATGACCATTTCAAGGCCAAGATCTACAAGAATAAGGACATCATGCAGGCTAGTAGAGATCGTTCATCATCATCCTCATCCTCTCATCGTCTTCATCATGATCAGAAGAAGAAGAAGCAGCAGAACGGTTCGATGAGCAGGAAAGTTCTGGCAAAAAGCAAGTTTGACTTCTCTCCTTTCTTCAAGAATCATCAACAACGACATTTGCAGCCACCAGACCCATCAGACGCACAGATTGATCCTCGTTATGGTGTGGAAAAGCGTCGTGTCCCAACTGGTCCAAACCCATTACACCACTGATATGATCTGATGGGGTTAGTGAAAGAAATTAAGCATCCATATAATTAACCACCTTCTTCTTCTTCTTCTTCTTTTTTGGCCCTTTCTTTTTTGATCTCCTTACATACAGGCATATATTGACCTTGTTATATTGTGTATGATATTTCCAGCAGCTTGTGGTGAGACTGTACATGTATTATAATTAAGTTCATTTGTTTGAGTTATAAAAAGAGAAGAGTACTGCATATTTTTCAGGTTTTGGTCTGGGCATTTTATTTTCATCCATGATTTTGCTTAATTTGGTCAATGTAATGATTCATCATGAGAAGAAAAATTTATGATATGATCAGAATGTTTTCTTTCTTTTGGTGAGCGATCATGAGGAAACATGAGTTGCTGAGACGGCACGGCACATGTTGGAAAGGAGATTTCTGGTTGAAGCATAATAATGATACATATATTAATGAGATTGGTTAGTGTAAAAGATCTACGAGCATCTATATATAGATTTATATATATTCCGTCAATTTTTTAATATGATTTTTGTCTTTGGGAAAAGCAGAGTTTTCCTTTGAAGATGAACAAAACCAAATATGGTACGGCACGTGACATGGCCACATAATCAAATATCAACCATATATTTTTCCCCATTACTTTGCATTATTTGTTTGTTCAATATTATTATTATTATTATTTTCTTCAATTTGGTCTTTATTATCATAATGTCTCACCCTTCATATATAGCTGGTTAACTTAATTTGTTCGTTTTTCTTAATTTTTTTTTACCTATAGCATTCGTCATAAAACCTTTAAATCCCACTACCTATTTTCCACTTTAAAAATATATTTTTTTGTCTTAAATATAAGACTCATTTTGTAGTATAAATTATATTACAAAATAGGTTTTATATTTAGCATCGGAGGAGTACAAGGTTATCCTCAAATAAAACCATTTGACATATATTATATGATCTTTTGTTATAATATCTGTTTTCCTTTACGGATATAAAACATGTGAGGACAAGTAATGATGAGGTTTATTTATGCATCAATGAAAAATATTTATTTCTCTAATTTTATACATAAGTCGGATTAATTTATATGTAAATTCGTTTGAAGGTGGGAAAAAAAAGTCATATAAACCTCTCGTATGGTTTATAGTTTTGTTTTGCAAGCTTTTTGCTAGCTATTGGTAATTTGGCATAACATAAACAAACTGGGGAATAAGTCAGAACTATTTCTACAACGGTTAAAATAACAACAACAGATATGTAAATAATTATTTAAATTATTTTGATTTGATTTGTTTGAAAACTTATCTCTTTCTATCCCAATTACAAAAACAATCGATATAAACTATCTATGCTTACCGCCAGTGCAGAAAGATAAAATCAAATTCCTTTTTTGAAAAATCAATTACTTTCGATATTATTGCTTGCTGAGTTAATCAGTGCAAGAAGTCTCTTCTAATTAAAATAGTTTGATGAGAAAACTAAATCAATCACTTTAAAATTTTATGTGGCCCAAAACGAAGCTTCCATGGATTTAATTAATTAAATAATGATTACATATAAATATTGTCTAAGAAATTTTCTTTTAGAGAAGGGAAAAATCTTTCATAAGTGATGGCATATTTATATAATTCTATGGAGTTAATGAATAAAGAGAAGTGGAATGATTAAAGGATTCAAAGGTAGGAGTTAATGATATCAAGATTAGCCCACCACCATCATTTCACAATTGAATTTGCGTAGATTGCTTCTTGCTAGGTTTGTTGTTCGATACATGTCTTGCTTCCCACTAGCAACTCCCCAAATTTCCTAATTCACAGTTTATTTAGTCAAATATGAGTTATGTATTTATTTATAGAATTAAAAAAATTAGTTAGTTTAGTTTTTTATGATAAATGTATATTGATTTTTCTAAAACACTCTATTTACTTATTTGTATTTAAAATTATTCTTATTAATAAAATTGTTTTTAGTATGTACAATCAATAAAATTGTTTGAAAAACAAGTTATAAATTTGCTAGACAAAATAAATTGAGGTATTATATTTATAGTTTAAACAAATATAGTCTTATATTTAAGATTGAAGGAAATAGTTAAAGAGTCTACAATATATCTTCTGAAAAGTTAATATATGGCTTGTTTAGAATGATTTACAAACAACTTTTCAATAGTGATTTAGAAATATGAGATAAGTATATAAAAAGAATTTTGTATTGACTTATTAAGTGTGTTTATAAGTACTTATTTATCTTAGCTCCAAATAAGCCCATAATCTTTGCCATTGCCAGAAAGAAATAAAGGACCTAAAAATATCCAATAAGAATTGATTTAGTTGGTAAGGAGTCAGCTCATAACCCATAAGACTGTTAGTTTGAATCTTATTACCAATGTAAGAACCTTGTTAGTAAGTGATATGTAATTATATCTGTAAGCACTCTTTGAGCCTAAAAACATATCTTAGTCTTGATAAGCTTTCAGGACTGAACTCACCTAAACTTTTTTTTAAACCAAGAAAAGGACCTAAAAATAAAATGTAGATATAATACAACATATTAGCTAGAAAGGATAATGTAATTAATTAAGTGATATTGTGTATATATGAGAGGGAGAGGTATAATTGGAAATGGATTGAGTAGGACAGGAAGAATATTTCCTTTTCAGATTCTTTAAGGGAAGGACTCTGACGTTAATAATGAATAAGATTGGTATGATTAGTGACAATAACTTGATAAACACAATTCAGCAAAAAAGAATATAATGCACCTGCCTTGCTTTTCACGGACTAAAAGCACCTTATTAAGCCTCAACTAATTAATCGATTAATTAATTAATTTTTCCAGAAGAAAGGATCTTACCAAACCCTCCCCTTTCTTTCTTCATTCTTGGCAATTTTCAAACCCACCTTTTGTTGACAAAAGCTTACGACAATATTTAAAAACATATTTAATTGAACTTTTAATTGTGACAAATTCAAATAATTTGTACAACTCAATCTGCTATGGTATATACTCGAAAAAATAATCATTTTCTTCTTCTCGTAGCCAGCAAGGTTGCGTGCATTATATATAATTATGATTAATGATTATAATTATCATATACATCATTAAAAATAATTTCTTTAATATATATGCACATATATATAATTAGTAGAAAAGAAGGTCGATGATTATAATTATGATTGATGTAAGAAATCAATCGTCACATAAAGTTGCATGCATGCGTACTAACTCAACTCATGATTAATGTGATTGATTAGTATATATACGCTTTACTTATATATATTTTGGTCTCGAGAAACAGTTTATTTTAAATCCGTAAAGGATTTATAATGGAAAGAGAATAAATTAATTATTCCAGTAAATAAATTCAAAAGTTGGAAATCATTATATTGTAGTAATTAACAACATTGGAAAATATTCTTTTATTTCAAAAAATATATTTTTCACTCACTTAAAAAATGTCGAAGGTATAGTGCAACATCTTATAACAGCCCATATCAATCTTAGAGTTACAATAGCAAAAATTAAAAATTTATTAATTTTTATGAGAGAAAATTTATTACTTACACAATAAACTTTTGGAGGTCATAGACATTTGAACATAAATGCATCATGGAAAACCTTCATTTTATAGGTTATGTGATATATGACATTAAAAAGATAAGGATTGCACAAAGAGACAATTTTCAAGAAGTGATGGATAGATGGATACCTACATTCTATGATATATAAGTGTTAACAAATTCCATTTGATAAATTTAATTCATTTTCTACTTTTAAATTATTATTACAAGTTACAATATTATTGTGATAATTTACATTGATCGGTTAGGTCGTTACTCCTTCCTAAGAAAAAAAAAATTAGTCATTTACAAAAAAAAAATGTTGAAAGAAATATTGAGATATCATATTCAGAATTAAAGCAAATTATTCGCTAACAAGCTTCTAATAAATTAATGGTAGAGTTTATTGAAAAAAAAAAATTAGGTCGGTAGAGTATATAAATAAGGAAGTAAGCGACAGACAAAATAAAAGAGCAAATAAAAGGTTTAGGAGATGTTTAGATAAAATCAAATCATAATTTTAAATGTGATTTTATAGTATAAGAAATAAGTACGGGAGAATCTAACTACCTCACCGGAGAGGAGACAGCTGGGCTTAAAGGTGAAGGGAAGCTAACGTCTTATCTCGAACTTCTTTAATTATTCCTCAGAAGGATTTGCCGACTTGGAACAGATAGCGTCTAGAATAATGATTCATTCACTTACTTCATATTGTTTGTATTTATTAAATTAAGTTGATGGATTAATCTACAAATATATATATACGTATTTTAACTACTAAAAAAAATAAAATAATAAGTATTCATATTTTATAACTAAATTTATAAGTAGTCATATACATTTTAAATTTTTAACAATCAATATTAGTAGTAATAAATAGCGAGAATCTTGAAATTTTTTTTTGAATTTTAAAATTTCAAATCATTCTTATTTACTATACTTCAATAATAATTAACAATATTTGAAAAGCAGATGACAACAAATTTTTTTTGTCATTCGTTGATTTGAGATTTTGAAATTTTGAAAATATTTTTTTGAGACTTTTCCTAATAAATATCTATATGAAAATTTACAAATTCTGATTTATATTATAACAGCTTGCACAAAAATTTACAAGTCGCGTGCATTTTAATGACTAACTATATGAAAAACTTAAACTAATGAATATAAGCAGCTAGACTTAGGTTTGGCCCTTGCACACGTCTTCATGATAAATTCATCTTTCTTATAAATTTAAACAGCAAATCAAAGCTAAAATTAGTTTTTTTAATTATTAGTGCTGATATTATCAATTCAATACACAACTTTCTAGTCATTGAATTTTCAACGAGGCCTGACAGATTAGATTATTGATCACGATTTGGAAGGGGCAGAGAAGAGCGATCGATCAGTTTGCACAGAAACCCTATCTCTCTGGATTAACGCTAAAAAATTGTGATTATAGATAATTTTAATTTCTATAAGTAATATTGGTTAAAAGTAATACTCCTCCTGTCCTTATTATAAGACCCCATTTGACTTTTTATTTGGTCCTAATTATAAGACCCCAATCCATTTTGTCTCTTATATTTATGCATTTTTTTCTAAGATAATCCTTCTAATAATGATAGTTTTAGCCAATATACTTAATTAGCAAGGATATTTTAGGAATGACAACACTTATTTATTATAAATAACCAACTTAACTTACTTCCTTAATCTCCTCAAATAAGTCAATTGGGTCTTATAATTAGGACCGGAGGAGTATTAGTTAATCATGATTTCTATTTGAATAATTTTTCTTATAATTAGTGATTTTGAAAATACGGATTATGTTTAGATTTCATTTATTAAAATCACTTATAATATATAATTACCAAAAAAACAACAAGGTAGGGAAAACATATAATTTCATATAATTCTTATAAGTATTTATTATTATTTAAATATAATTTTTAATTTACTAATTATTATTAACAAGGGTAGATAGTATACTTTTTTGTTGCTAAACTTCTATCGCGATTTTCCAATTACAAAAATTACTTCTGATAGGTTATATTTAAACATGTAATTGATACTGAAATCATAATCTATTGAGATTTCAAAAATTTAGCCAAAAAAGATAAATGGTTCACATAATCACTTATATGGGTTCAAGTGAGCTTATTTTGAACTCCCACTATTTAAGAGGGTGTTTGGCAAATCATGTAAAAATGCTTTTAAAGGCCAAATCATGGTTTAGACCCAGAATCATCCAAACACCCTGATATTTTGGAAAACCATGATTTGGGGCTGAAACCATGGTTTGAGCCTCCAAATCCATGGTTATGTTTCGCTTCTGAGGGAGTGTTTGGATGAAACCAAACCATGGTTTGGAGAATAGCTTCTGGAGAATAGATTCTGAGAAGAATAGATTTTATAAAGAATAGATTTTGTAAAAAAGTGATTTTGAGAAGTGAGAGTGTTTGGATAGTTGTTATCAGAAGCACTTTTTATATGTACAAATTACAAAAAGGGACATAAGTTAATATGATAATTACATAAAAGATAAATTTTATAATATAATTTAATTTCAAAAAATAAATTTGTTTATAATATATTGAAGTGGCGCTATATTTGGTATGCCGAACCCAGACCTCAAAGAAATAAATATTTGGTATATTTATTGATTTATTGATTATCATGTGTATTAATAAAGAAACCAATTCATTAACAATTATATATATCCTCACCGACGCAGGGGTATAAGATATATAAGATATACATGAACGCATTAAAAGTTAGCACATATTCCGGCGCAGGGGTGAAGAGGCGTCTTCAGAGGAGCGACGGCCAAGGACGAACAGGCGAAGCGTGAAATAATTCTTGTGGGTGTTTTTGTCAAATACACCGTTGATAGCCTCTGACAGTCCCAACGACTCGTTTTTAATTTTCCAGAAGCGAAAAATTGTCACTTTCCAGGAAACCATGGTTTCATCAGTCCAAACTAAGGTTTTGATTCTAACCAAGGTTTTGACAAAAATGAGGCTGTTTGGATATCACTTGATCCAAACCATGGTTTTGTCTCCAAAACCATGGTTTGGAATGATATATTTTGAAAAAAAAAAAAAATGAACTGAAAAATGAATGCTTTCTTAAAAAAAAAAAAAACGGAAAAAATTCTTGAATTTTTTTTTAGAAATATTTGATATTTTTAATTTTGTTTGATAGAAAGAAAGGGTGTTTTTTCGTTTCGAAATCCAACTAATATTCATTACTTGAAGAGGCTTGAATTTTGGTTGTTGGACTACCAGTATCAGTGTTAGAAGGTGGGCAATGTGATCCAGGTTAAAAAGCCTCTCAATTGAAATCAAATCCTCTTGCTCGTTTCTTGCTTGTTCAATAGACCGTGGTGCTCTTGTGGATTTATTCATAAAATGTTTCGTGCCTTATATTTTCACAACAATTATTAATTACTTTAATAAGTAGTAAATTGTTTTAATGTGCGCTGATTCAATTTTGTCAAAACACCCCATAATAATATATGACAAAATAATCATTTTTCTATAAACATATTTAATCTTATATTTTATAAATATATATACACATTAATTATTTATTAATTACATTTGTTATATATTATTAATTATGTTGGTAAAAAATATATTATTAACAAATTTACTTCTTCAGATTAAAAATATTATAAAATCTATCTTTTATGTAATTATCATATTAACTTATGTACTTTTTAGTAATTTTTATATATAAAAAGTGCTTCTGATAACAACTATCCAAACATTCTTATTGTATCAGAATCATTTTTTCACAAAATTTATTCTCTCAAAAATCTATACTCCAGAAGCATGGTTTGGTTCTATCCAAATATCTCCAATCAAATAGGACTAAAACCACCATCATGAAGCAACCTATTCTACTACTCGTATTTCAACATTTTTTGCTTTCAATGGATTATTATTTAATTTCTTTTTTTATATATGGTTGTTATTCGAGGATAAATACTAGATGTTATTCGTTTAAAAATTTTAATCTCAATTTGTGAAAAAATATGCTAGCAAGAATCGGCTAGATTTTAAATTTTGACACACACAGACACAATCCCATATGCGCTAATTGCTTTCACTTTTGACTTCACCAGTGAAGCATAATAAGTGATAGATATCACACATGCCTTTATGACCTCTCACATGTGTATAATCTTCAAATTTTTCATAGGAGAGTGATACTTTTTTTAATATAGCATATTCCTGTTTATGAGAGATGCTTACAGGTTGTGTCCAACTTTTTTTTTAAAAATTAATTTCTCATTTTGCTCTTATTTAATTAAAAAATGCATCTGACAAAAAGAGGGGGCGAAAAAGAGAAAAAAATTAACGGCATAAATTAGAAGAACATGAATAAAATAAAATAAAAATATAATTAAAAATTATAAAAACCCCATAATAAAATAAAACTATAAAAAAATTGGGGAAAAAAGGAAACCCTAATTTTTTACTGTTTTGACCATTGATTGATTTAGAACAAGATACAATATTCAGGCCCAAATACAAAGCAGTCCAACCATGTGGCCCAGTCGCAAACCAAACCCCAGGAGAGAGAGTCAGCGAGGGAAGCAGGACAAAGGTAGTGAGGGAGAGTAGTGTTGTTCTCTCTTTGGAGAAGACGCTAGCCATGCCTGCCCCCGCCCCCTTGAGCAGCGCTTCCGCCATGCTCCGCCATCGGATCCTCCCCGCCCTCCGAACTCGTGGTGGCGTAGCCTCTGGTCCCAGCCGTTGGACGGCCCCGGGCCACGAGGAACACCCCAAGGGTTACCTCTTCAATCGTACCCCACCGCCCCCGGGTCAGTCCCGCAAATGGGAAGATTGGGAGCTTCCTTGCTATATTGCCAGTTTCATAACGATCGTCATCCTTGGTGTCGGCCTTAACGCCAAGCCCGATATGACTATTGAAAGTTGGGCGCACGAGAAGGCCCTCGAACGCCTCAAGATGGAGAACCTTGGCCTCTCCAATTCTGACTCCGGTGAATCGGACTGAAACTCGATCTGCACAACAGTATATTGGATCCACTCCTTTGTCCAGTTTCTTGTGTTTGGTTAATGGCACTCCCGGTTTGATCGGCTCCCTTCTAGGGTTTGATCTGTAGTTGAATAAGGCTATAAATGTGGAATTTGGGCTCCTGATGTAGTCTGATTACTGCATACCTAGTTGTTAATTCTGACTCTTAACATGTTAATTTTTGAGGCTGCTTATAATCAAGTTAATTCTATATTTTATGTTTTGAATGTGGATAAGACATTATAGACTCTCGCTGCTTTCTTGGCTCGAGTGATATTATATCTAAAGTTGCTATGATTCTTTGGTTCCTGTTGTTCCTCGAGAAACTCGTTGAACCAAGTTTTTATCCGAATTCTGATATATGTTTATAAATTCTACCAGCATATTTGGACTTGTCCACAGTTTTCCTTGGAGATATTACAATTTTTACCCAATTTCATGCCGCTTATGTTTTCACCCATGCTTGGTCAGCCAAAAGAATCGTGGGTTATAGGGATAATTTGCTTTCCCTTCTGAAGATTATGGATCATGGACATGTTCTAGCTCTAACCTGAATGTTGGAACTCATTCTACTGCTACAGATTGAAAGAATTTGTCAGCGCCTTGGTATATGATTAATGATCAGCCTTTCAGTTAGTTTCTGCTTTCATCTGACTCTATCTGCCTATGCTACTTGCCTGATCTAATTGCCTAAAATAGACTCCTTTTACTGCTTCATGGTACTATAATTTTTTTATTATCTTTCGTTTTTTTTTTAAAGGTTTGACCTAATCTCATTAAATTTACACAAGGAAGGATACAGGCAGGTTCTAGCTGCCAACTCAGAATTCCTCGTTTTGAAATGGGATCTTTAATTTCTAGTTTGGGTGAGAGTTCAATTTGCTGTGTTTTGTTGGTTTCTTTGGCAAGCTTCGAAGTGACTCTGATACTGTGGCCTAGAAGTTTGCTGAAAAGGTTTTAAGCGTGTCCGGCACAGAGCACTTCTTCTACGGTTTTAGGTAGTTTAGGTGGCTGATAGTGATTCAGTTTGAGAGCTATTATTGATTGAACATAGTATTTAAAGCTATATATGGGAATTTATGAAGGAACGAAATGGATGGAATGGAAAGGTAAGTACTGCGGAGAAGAATGATGATACGTGGTAATAGGGATAAGGTCACTTTGTTAGCACTGGAAAGGGAGAAGAGAGTAAAAACAGGAAAATACTAATTCATTGAACTCCAATTACACCCATCAGAACCCCTATTTATAGTCTTAATACCCATATTCCCAAACTACCCCCGATTTTATCCCTATTACCACAGATCAAATGAGTAGTCATGTACATTTTTCATGTCTGAAAGTTTAATAAGGGAAGAGGAGATGTTTAGAATGAAATGACTTGTACGTTACTTTTCTAATATTAATGTTGGGACTAGAATTTGATGTTGACTCTAATCACATCTCTTTTAGTTGATGAAGATATATTTATAGGAAGAGTTAATCTCGGACAGATTAGCCTGCCTTTTCATTGTTAACTATGCCTGCACCCTGATCAGTGTATTCCTTCCAAAACACCCAATTTAAGTTTTGATGACGAGAAGGATTCGTGGAATCCTTTCTTTATAACACAATGCCTAGCTTGATTTCTTATTCCATTCTTTTTCATATCTTATCCCTTGCCATCTGTTCAACAAGCATAATAGTTTCTTCAGAGCTCGCTCGAAGTTGAGTGAAATAAGTTGAATTGTGAATTTGTGATGTCTAAGATAGCTCTGCTCCTTTCAACTGCTACATCCCTGCGATTACGTCTCTGCTTAAGAGCCAGAAGGATAATTCATATGCAGACTACTTTACAGTAGGAATTGGAGAAAATTGTGGATTCGACCGATGAAAATGATGTAGTCAAGGTTGTGTCCTTCGTTTTTTTCAGAGTCAATTACATATATATGGTAGTAATTAACTCGTGTTACACTTGTATCCTATAGCATTAGTTTTTTTTTTTCTTTAATTATTTCATTGCAATAACGGGTAAATGCAGAAATGCATCTAGAATGCCATTTTGAATGTAGCTTGACGGCCCTGAATCGTAATATAACTCTTCAGGTTGTCCTGTGAAATAAATCTCAAGCCGTGATTCATGATAACGAATGATGAATTCTGTCACTTATCTATCAGGTCAACTCTGCCTCCTATTTATCGTTTAAGTTAGAGACAATCAGCTTGTGATCCCTTTCTTTTCTTTCTTGGTGCAAATAACCTTGTGATATTATGCCTGTGCAACTGGTGGCCACTAACTCCCTTAATAAGCCTTGTGTTTAGCTTCGATGCTCGTATTATTTTCACCGTCATATCCTGATATAGCTGTTCTCTTGTACGTTCTGACGTCTGAACTGAATCCCTATCCAAAGCCCGGGCCTTGAAAGTTGAAAGGAGTGTTCGTCAACTAAACTTGTCAAGACAGGCATTTAAAAGCCTTGGATAAATTCCTTTATTTACCCAAAAGAAAAAAGTTCTGGATGTGTCAATTAGATTAGATTGGTGCTTGTGCTTGACACACAATCATAGGAATCGAGTCCTTATGACCAGCATGAGTTGGTTGAGGTGGTATTCGACAGCAAGTGCATTCCCGAGAAGCGCTAAATGATGCACTTCCACCCCTCAAACCCGGACTAGATGTCTAACCCATGTTAAAAGGTCAGGATTCATAAAAGGTGCTGGATACCCATGGTGGGGTTCCCCTTATAGCTTCAAAAAGAGAATTTAGTCTTCATAATTTTTACAGGGCGTGCGCTGTGAAGGGTTTTTTTTTTTTTAAATCCAATACAAGTATATTTTTTAGGTGCATCTAACATTTTAAAATATTTTTTGGTGCATCATGCCAAGATTAAAAAAAGGTGCTGAAAGTACATAAAAAAAAACATTCAGGATATTGAATGCAAGGCATGGCCTAAACATTGTTCATTATGCTATTCTTTTTTCTAGGTGTCAAATACGGCCATTTTAACGCCTTTTTGGGTAAAGATTAAACGTTTCTTTTTTATTTTCATTTTTTTCTTCCAAGTTATCTTTTAATTAATTTTTTTTTAAAATTCTAAATAGACTGATCAAGCGGGGGGAGTCGCAATTCTTGCTCCACTGAAAATCAAGCAAGCACTTACTAGGCAATTGATCATCTCGTAGTTACAAGTACAGTATGATTCTACTATTTTATTCTATTTTCTTGACCTGGAAAGACATTTATAATTGTATTATTGTAGAGGAGCCAGTATGTATAGGCTAAGCAAATAATACAAAAGCAAAATGAAATATACATCTGAAAGATCAACATATATCAGAAAGAAGAAAAATGGTGATTATGCCGCTTCTGCTTCTGGTATTTTATCTTCACCAGCTTGAGAATGGATGTGGCTTCTAAGTTCTTCAAAAGCCTTCATGCTCTCTGCATCAAAGCCTCCCGCAAACTGCAAATAGTTCCCAAAAATAAATTAAAATTTGTTATTCAAACTGGCTTACATTACACAACATTTTGCCACCTAGAAATGAACTTCTCCGTCTCTATTATCCTAAGTCTAGACATACCCAAACAGCACACGTCAATATTAAACTCTGAGATTAGTGCTGGAACATTTGTCAACATACGTACGTATCTGTTTTGAGTTGGAAAGAGCCTAGGAGGAATCTAAGAGCCTGGGAGGAAAAGTACCTGATGAACACGGAAAGCGAAGCGGACGGACACTTGCAGAACCAGAAATTCTCTCATGGGTTCCTTTTCTGGTCCCGATAAGGCATCAAGTTCAGACGCAACACGTTTCATATACTTTTTGGCCAGTTGCACAGAAGAAAGCTTGATCTGCAATAGCAAATTCACCGTATGTCAACATTTGATAAAGACTTTCGTTGTTAAGATTTTCTCCTACAAAACCCCCGTACGTGCATGGACAAACAAATTTCATAACTCCACTTGAAATCTTGGTCAAAAAAAAATAACTCCACTTGAAATTTTGAGTAGACTGAATATAAGCGAAACATCTCAAATTACGCTTGAGATAATCACTTTTAACTTTTAAACAGTTTAATGATTTGTATTTAACAAAAAATTGAACTAGAGGAAAATATTGCAGATAATTTAATTTTTTTGTCCTTCACAAAGAATTATTAAAAGAAAAAACATGGTGCAATAGGTATTATTTCTAGGAATATCAAATAGTGGCCTCCCTCTAGGCAGGGAGGTGTTTTTGTCAAGCAACTTCCATTAACCAGCTCCTAAACTGTTAGTTGATTAGAATACCTTGCCAACAACTCCGGAATCTAACAACCAGTTTACTGGGATTCCAAATTCCTTGTATCGTGAAATAGCCATATCTCTTGTACGTAAGAGTGCATATACACTCTGCTCCACTCTGGAAATGTTAACAGAACAAAAAAGAAAATAAAGTTGTTAGATAAAATTGAAGGTTAACCAACATATACAAACTGTAATACAAAATGGGTAAAGGCCATGGTAAAATATTTTATGACTTGTCAGAAGTCCAAACCACGTCCAGCCTACTGCCTTGAAATAAATATGATATAATCATTAAAGCTATGAACTCTCAGGAAGCTCTAAGTTGGCATTCAAGTACGTAAAAAAAATGCAGAAAAAAGATACGTACCTTTCAAGCAATGAGTACATTTTCTTCAAAGCAGCATCGCATGGAAGATTGGGATCATCGTTGAAGGAGGAGACTTGTTTCTCCAATTTTATCAGATCCTGATATTCAAATGCTGCCTCCCTCAGAGCATCTGCTTTCCCTTCAGGCCAATCAAAGTGCTTGAGGACAGCTCGCTCATCAACCTTACATAGAAAATGTGATGAAATGAGAAAGTACGCAGTGATCACTGGTTATAGAATAATGAAATGGAAATAGATTTTAAAGGTGAATGACGTGGTAATTAATAAATTGGATTTCATTTCTTAGGGAAAAATTTAGAGGTTTTCCCCAGAATTGAACTTGCAAAATAAAGAGTGAGTAATGCTTTTCTCAGATGGATGAGTATTCAGTAATGACATTTAGGCATACCAGAAAGGAAAGTTCCTCATCCAGCCAGTTGACAAAGGCCACTAAATCATCAATGTCTGAGAAGGAGGCTGTCCGAACTTCAGTTGCCAGGGACATGACAAAATCACCTTGCGTTTCCACATCAGCTTTCACCTGCATTTGGCAGAAAAAATAGTAAGTCTTGAATGTAATGGCTCAAGCTCCGTGGCAACATGAGAATAGACAAAATAGAGTGAAGTTTATTTACAGCCAAGAGGAATGACGATCTATTCTCAATTTCGCCAATCATGTTGCTCCTAGCATCAGATGCATTAGTTGTTGAAGAAATTAATGATGAAGTATCCTTCTTGGCCTCCCGCTTCATCAATGTTTGATAAAACTCAACAAGCTCAGGAGCCCTGTGAACTTTATCATTACCCATTGCCCCTCTAAGGCTTCCTGGGGGAGGAGGGAGGCGGAACACCTGGAGGTGGAGGTGGAATAGGTGGAGCAGGTGGTACACCATTGGAAGGATTTGAAATTGTACTGACAGGAGCACCACCAGATGGTTTAGGAGGTGGCCGAGGACCCTTGGAGGCCTTTTCTCAATGTGAGCCAGTTTCATCTTGTTAATGGTTTGATTATCAACACTATTACCATCCTCAGATTGATCATTAGGGCTACCAGAAACCAATGTCTTCTCCTTTATCTGAGAAA